TGTACTCGGTTCAATTAACATCAATAAAAGCATATCTTTAATTCACTTTATTTAAATTGTGCTCATATAACAAGGTTCGAATTAGTTTGAACTAAATCATCGATCGCATCCACAACAATCATGAACTATACTAGAAAAAAACAAAGCTAAATTCAAACAATATCCAAAAAAATGACAAAGAATCAGATGATTGCAAGTCTTGCCATCAAGAATGAAATTTTACAGTTTGGTTACTGAGTACAGCCGATTTGGCTTCAGTTAGAAGAGAACAAGCCCGAGATATTGTCTCCGACATGATCCAAGAACCAGAATTCTTAAACATCAACCACTGTACTTGCAAAGATTCTCGAAACCCATGTACTCGTGCCGTTGGAATTTGCCGACCATGTTCACTATTCCCACGCCACCTACGAACAAAGAAGCAACGATGACATAATTACTCATCTTCCAAAAGTGATAAATTCTGCAACTAGCTGCGCAAAATATTTAGTTTGAAAAATCCAGATAACCACAAACTTACAGATCAAAGCAGATACTAATAACTAGTATCTGTTTAAGGCAAAACATATCACACATGAAATATTTAATTTAAAGAGACGTATCAAAATTTTCCTTGTTTAAGGTGACTCAAGCACACAGAGATTAGAGGAAAAGGAAGAAAAAGCAGTTTAAGTGAGAGTGGAGTTTATGTACCAAGCGATATCGCGCTGATAAAAATCATGGATGCGAGGATGAAGATGATGAGAGATGCCCGACCGATAACTGCAATTAGCCTTCGGACTACATGCTGTCCAATCAAAGCTGCAATCGTTGCCACTGCCACAAGGTAGAGAGCTGCACCAAAGCAAACAGGTTGTGAAGTTCAATCGATCCCGAGGTAAGAAAACAGCCTTAATCGAATAGAATGACAGAGAACTCACCATATGGAACAGGGAAACGTTTGAGAAGATAGTATTCTACAACAGACATGGATGAAGAGAAAGTCATTGCAAAAGTGGCTGTAGCACTTGAGACCTACAACAAATAGTAGATCCAGTGATACAAAAACAAGTGATTCTAGACTCTTGTGGAGTTAAGTATTTGCTGAACTTAAGAATATGTTCACCTGTGGTGGGACACCTAGCTCTAAAAACAATGGACCCATGATGAAACCACCGCCTAAACCGAGTAGGCCACCAACTATACCCGCCAATATCCCAAGAGTACAGTACAGAAGAAGCTGGCCAACTGTAAAATGCGAGTCTCCTTGCCCCGTAGATGCAATGACTCTTCTACCCTGGTACAAAGCTGCTGCCTCATAGCCTGACACGCCGACTGCAACTGGAATCTACATTTTGGTAGGAAATCATAAGCTTCTATAAAGCAGTTTACGTGGATCTCTCAGCCAAAAAAAAGAGTAGTAGATTACCTGTAACAAATTTATGACCCAGTATGCTACAGAACAAGTAGCCATGTTTTGCTGTTTCCACAGTAGAACATGAAAAGTATCAATAAATTTTGAAAATGAACAATTGATACACATGCAAGTGTATTGCTTGATAAAGAAAAATAATTAACCTTGGTTAGCTGCAGGGCCAAGTATACAACCCAGACAAAAACCAGAAGCCCCAGTTCCTTCCAGTATACATTTTCAAGAATACTTACCTGCAGTACATTAGAAAATGGCTAATTGTAACATAACTTGCAAATACAGAACCAGCACTAGTGTGAAGAGAAATGACACTTACTTCTTCTTTCTTGTTGTTTCCAGTGTTGGTGCTCGGGGCTGCGAGAAGAGGCATGTATTCCACTTCTGTGCCAGCAGATACACCTGATGAAAAAAGTGGATTGTGTGAGCAGTGTTTTTCCAATAAAATCAAAACAGAACTTGTAAAATGGAAGTCGCCGAGAAATGTTTACCAACTCACCATTTGACTCTAAACGCTTAGCAGCCTCCTGTAATACAGAACATACAAAAGTTTGATGGTTATTCATTAATATTGGCACTGTCTAGTAAGAAGTTAGCGAGGTACCTGTTTCTCTATAGTTTCCTTTTTCCAAGTCTCACAACCCTTCATAAAGGCCCTTGTTGACGTGCCTGCATAAAAATGGTCATTCTAAGTCTAAGCACCAATGGAGGAAAGGCCATATAAATCTAAAACTTAATTGATTCATACCGAAAAAGAGAATGATGAGTAGAACTGTGACCATCCAATCTGGAAAAATGACATTGAAAGAAACCCCAATGCTAATCCCGAGCATGAGCATGGGCTGGATGAGCAGGGCGAGATCATAGTCAATGATGGGCATATCAAGCGTAGGATGCCTCAATCTAAGGTTGTAATAAACAGTTGACACAGCAGCACCCATGATCATGCCTAAAAAATGAAAAAAAAAAAACTCTTAGAAACTTAACACAAAAGAGGAGACAACAATGTAGAAATGTTGAGAGAGCCACTCTTACATTTAGAAATGGCTGTGGCTGATTTAGGATCAAACCCAATAATCAAGCTGAGCATGGGAACGAAAATCCCACCTCCACCAACACCACCTACACTACCAAACGCAGCTCCAAAGAATCCAACAAGAGTGCCCATAACAATTTGCCAGTTAAACTCAAGTTCCTGGAATTGATTGATTCCGATCAGAGTTTATACCAAAGAGAACAACATATAGTAAGAGAATGAATGAGGGTGGACTTACAGGCCAGACATGTTGATAACCGGTTTGATCAGATTCCCATAGAAAATTCACTGCTCTGAGGAAGAAACTGGATTCACTTCCCCTACTTTCTGATGCAAACCTTAGAGATTTTCCTTTGAAGCTCCTTTCAGCGGAAACCAAGGCAAAAGCTAGACCGAAATTGATTAAGACCATGATTACCGATCTCAGACCTCGCCACTTGGATCCGAATTCCGCCATTGTAATTGTGATTGAACGATCTTTTCTGTTTATAATGCCGAAAGCTGAATCGGAAGAGACTATTAATCACAA